TAATATTGTAATATTGAGGCCTAAGAATTAGTAATATTAAGGCCTAAGAATTAGCAAAAAATTAGGAACTCGAACCCAGTTACCGACCAGGTCTTATAAACTAGTAAGTTACCAACTATTGAACTTCTATATTAATATTAATTTGAATCAATAATCAAAAATTATTAAACCAATTGTCTGCACATTTGTAATTATTTAAATGATTTTCCAAATTTATTGACCATATTGCCATCCATTGAGCGCTTTTTTTTTCTGGAACAGAGTCTAATACCAATTGACAAATTTTTTTTGACCAGGATACTAAAAGACTATCAATGTCATCATAATATAGCATATATTCGATTAGTTGTGTTCTTTGAAGTTGTAAATTATTTATAGTTGTGTTTTCTACTTTAATATTTTCATTTGTTGATGATAATGATAAAAATATATGCCTCATTATCAAGTCATCATCGAAAAGCTCTTTAAATATTTGACTGTTTATAGTAGAAAGTGTCTCAATTCGAGTTTTATAATAAGTATATTCTTTATGATCCTTGTTTTCATATTGTAATGATTTTCGATAGTTTCTGTAAAGAAGATAAATTTTAAGTTAATATAATGATTATATAAATTTTTTTAATAGTTATCATTCCAACAGTTATTTATTTAACATCACACAAGATAGTAATATATATCTACAACTAATAAAAATGCTAAATTTAACCCCAAGTGATGTTGAATAAATAGCTTGTTATTAGAAAAATAAGTAACAATGAATATACAGTTTACCTTCACTTCAAATTAGTAAGCATGCAACCCGAGCTATCAGCTAATCCATAATTTAAGCTTCATATTTCTGATGCCATTTGCATTGTAATTGTAAATTTATTTATTGCATATCCATATGATTGCACAGTTTGTGTAGAAGAATCGCCATTCATTTCCCTAATAGTTCCAAACAATCCCTCAAGCATATCTTGAGAGATTCTTCTTGGTTGAATCATAGCATTTGGCCATTCACTAAGTACATATTCAATAATTCCAAGAAATCCATTAATCGATAAAATTAAATCAAACTGACATTGAGAGGAACACCATTGACTCGGATTCTTTTTTTCTTTATCTCCTTGAATAAACCAGTATTTTATCTCTTTTAAGGTATTCAAACATGGGTTTTCAAGAGAAGATATGCAAATTCTACTATGAGTAATGTCTCGGTACATCCTTGCATAATTAATAAACAACTAAAAATATATTATGATTTTGGATTAATTAAAATTAAAAACATTTAACAATGTGCTATTTGAGATTATTAAATAATTTTGTAAATAGTATATGAGTGTTGACAAAAGAAAACCCAACAATTTAAATATAAACTATATTTAAATTGTTGGATTTTCTTTTGGCGACACTTATATATAACTGTGAAATAATATAACAGTTTAGTTTATATAGTAAAGTATAATATTATTTATTACTTGTGTACCTTGCGAAATATTCATTAATTCAGGAATTTCCACCATTGCATTTTTGTCGTTTAGTGATAAAGTGTATTCAACAAGATCTACTCTCATCTTGCTCCAAGGAGTGAGCCATATATGTCGTTTTGTTAATTTGGTAGCTTTTGCCGTTGTATGTTTTATAGTATGGTCATAAACTCCTTGAAAATGCCTCCAGCTAATTTTATAATCATTATACATTATTTCTCTTACACTTTTTTTTTCACTATTTCCAGTATGACTTTTTGATATATTATTTTTTAACTTTTTGAAAACATGAGTGGGATCATTTAAAAAAAACCATTTTTTACCAGTTACGGGATTTACTGCAAGATGATATACCTAATGCTAATTTTCATTATGTACTGGACAAATATCACTAAGCACTGATTTCCATATAATTGGTTGAATTTTAGTAGTTTTAATTGCAACTTCTAAATATCCATTAACTAGAATTCTAGTAGATATTTTACCAGGATACCATTCATTGTCAACTATGCTTCGAACCTCACACTGATCATTCATATTCCAAGTAGTTTTTGCTAGCATTGGAGGCTGTAAAGCAGATCGTGTGACATTATAATGAGATTGTTCATTACCAGAAACCTTAACTGAAAATTCAGTATGTTCTGGATTAAAAGCAATTATTGTAGAAGGTTTGTAACTTTTTTTGTCTAGTTTATTTAATAGCTGAACTTCTACTTTATCACCTATTTTCCAAGTTGTTGCAAACCAATCAAAGCTTTTAATATGTCTTCTATTTTCACCTGCACCATTACAAACAGATCTGTAAGTATAAATTGCTACACATTCGAGTTTGGCAGCTAAAGAAAAAAGAATTGTATTAAGTGTATGAACACTTATTGTCTCAATTGCAAAGTAGGCAATCGGAAAGTTAAAAGAGTGGGTAATTGAATACCATACTATTTGATGCACCTGGGTTGCTAAAGTACGTTTACAATCTTTTTCATCATCTTTTTGATCATTAGAATAGTTTTGAACATTATCAAGATATTGCTTACCAAATACTTCAATTTCTGTATTTTCATCATCAAAATCAATATACCCAACATATTTGTTGTCATGTTCACAGGTCGAAAGATAAAAAATCAGGTACAAATCAGGTACCTGATTTGTATCTGATTTTTTATCTTTCGACCTGTGGTTGGCTCTATAAAAGTCCTTTAATAAATAAAAGAGGTTTATTATTATTATTATTATTATTATTATTAAGTATCTTTGCTATTCAAACCTTTTTGTATTTTAAATGAATCATGGGAAAAAAAATCCTAATCATGCATATTCCCACATATTGTTTGTATTCATATTTGCTGCAATCTGCTCTATCATCTTGTCTTGCCAACCTGTATATTGGCTAGTTTCATTTATATTACTTTTAAGAGTTGATAATGAAGGCATCCGAATAATAGATTTCATAGCTTTATAGACAGCAGGGCCTCTACTATAAATTGATATTGCCCAACGAATAAACCTATAAGATGTATTTAGTATTTTTTTTTTTGTTAAATAAAAATATATTGATAATCACTTATTTTTGCTTACATAGGATGATATCGTATTCCATTTGGCTTCTCACTCTGCATACGAATTAATTCTTTTAAAATAATATTTGGTACATCTTCATATTTTTTGGTCTTGACTTCTTCAATTACATTATAAACAATATTAGTTAATGGTTCTGATATAGGTTCTTCTTCTGCTTCAAATTTCAATTTTAAGCGTTCACTAAGTTCTTTAACTAGTTCTTTTTGTGATCGAATTGTCTAAATAAAAAGGTTATTAGTAGGTAAATTTATTAAAATACTTTATTTAACAAATATAATAAATACTTTTCATGACAAGCTTAGTTAAAATTTCTCTAGAAGCATATGGTGTTCTAACAGGTTGAGCACTATTGGCATGTCGTTTTTCAATTTTATACAATGTATTGCGTAATGTTTTATAATTTATGCATATATTTCTATTTAGTACAAAGAAAATACAATCAACTCTACGATAGGCTTTAGTTTCAAACCCTTTATTTTCGAGAGTTGCAATAATCTCATGGTTATTTTGGGGTCCCAAATAGCTAGAATATATATGATCATCTCACAGGTAAACTACTTTTGCAAATCCTATATATATTCTAAACTATATTATTAAAAATTATTAATTTAAAGAATATATATTGTAAATTTACTTCTAGTATATTGTCCTATACAAATAGATGATTTTTTACAAAATTGTACAATCGAAAGAATATCTGTCATAGTTGAGATTTTGTTATTAATATGATTACTTTCTAAAATTGTATCTTTAACTTCAAATTTATTTATAAAAATAGAACATCTTATAGGATTTCTGCTTCCATGAGGTACTTTTTCAAAACAAAGTTCTTTTTGTATATTTTGTTGATCAGAAAAAATAAGCTGTAAAGATCCATTATTACTCTCCATTAAATTTATATTTGCAAATTCCATATTACTATATATCATTGTTGTTAAAGTAGTTTTAATAGCAAGTAATATGATCATTTCAGTGCTCTTGAAATAAGGTGAATAATTTTCTTCTTTAATTATTTGACCAATGCTTGTTCCATTACAGCTAGAATTTAAAAAAATTGTTGCTAGTGATGATTTTTTGCCTTTAAAAAAGTATTTATTACTAAGTGCTTTTATCCAAGCAGAAAAGAATAAAACCCGATTTTGTATAATTATATCATAAACATAGACTAGTGTTCAAAGATAAGCTGGCTTATCATGGCTTGCTGCGGCTTAATGCGGCTTATCACATGATAAATTCGAATTTATCACCAAGCCATGTGATATCTTCGAATTTATCATGTGATATTTTTGCGATTATCACATGGCTCAGTGATAAATTCGAATTTATCACGTGATAAGCCGCATTAAGCTGCAGCAAGCCGTGATAAGCCGGCTTGTCTTTGAACACTAAGTATGGGTGATGCCTGTAACATGTAATGTTGGATATCGGTATCAATATGAATTGAAGTTGAAAAGAAATGTATAATGTCGGATATTGCTATATTGGCTGATTCGAATCAATTGCTCAGATAATGAAATTTTTATTTTTTTATTTTTATTATTTTTTTATTTTTTTTTTAATTAATTTATGTAAATTCTTTTTTTCTAGTAAATTCTTTTTTTCTTTCAGTCTTTCATTTCAATTTTTTTTTTTATTAATTTATTTTTTTTAATTTATTTGATCTCTGATTTTTTTTATTTTTTTATTTTCAATTTTTTTTTTTTAATTTAGTAATTTATTTCAATCACTTTTTTTTCTTTTTTACTTTTGTTTCGTCTATATATCTAATATTAACTACCTGAGTGTATTAGATTTAAATAAACTTTTATTATTAGCTATTTATTTTGAATAAAAATAAGCTTATAGTAGAAAGAGATCCGGGTTTAAT